TATTCTTCTTCAGGGACCAGTCCCTCTTGGTAATGTGTCCAAAGTATGAGAGACAAAGTCTCGTCATCTTGGCTACTAAGGAGCATTCTGGTAGTACTTTTTCCATGGTACTTTTAATGTTTTTCTCTAACACCGTAACTCAAAGGCATCAATTCTACAGTCTTCCTTATTTACTGTCCAATTTGCACACACATCTGAGGCTACTGAAAATATTAGTTTGGATCAGGTGCACCTTAGTCCGCAAACTGGCAGGCACCTTTACTTGTTTTCTTTACATTAAGGTACAAATCATTCTGAAGGCTTTGATCTTCATCAGTAAGTGTTTTAAGTCCTCTCCACTTTCAGAAAGCAGGGTTGTTATCTTCTGCATATTACAGATTAATGAGTCTTTCTCCAGTCCTGATGCCACATTCTTCTTCATACAATTCAGCTTCTTGATTATTTGTTCAACATACAAACTTAGTAAGTACGATGAAACAATCCAATCCTGGTCCACACCTGACCTGATTTTAAACAATCTGGTGTTCTCTTTTGTTCTGTTTGAACAACTGCCTCTTGATCTATGTAGTTTCCTCATAAGCACAATGAATAGTTCTACGATATCCAATCTTCGCTGTGTTATTAACAGTTTGTCATGATCCATGATTCATACAGTCAAACCTTTGCAAGCATAGTCAATACAACACAGATAAACATCTCTCTGATATTCCATGATTTCATCTGATATCAGAAATGATATCCATCGTTGCAAGTCCTCATCTGAATCTGGCTTGAACCTCTAGAAGTTCCCTGTTGATGTGCTGTTGCAGCACTTTCTGAATTATCTTCAGCAATTTTTTTCTTGCATGTAATATTGATGATATTGTTGGATGATTTCCGCATTCTGTTGGGTTACCTCTCTTTGGAATGGGCATAAACAAGCATCCCTACCAATCAGCTGATACAGATGGATTGGAACAGTGGCAACAGTAACGGGCTTCAGCATAGTAACAATTGTGAAGGTGTGTGTGGCGGGGGGAGGGGGGGAGCAGGGGACAGTGTTCATTCTGTTGTACAAAGAGCACAGAGTCACTGAGTCAAAACAACTCTTAACAATAACAATTCCACCATCAATCAGTTTGCCAGGGAGTTGTCTTCCAAATTTCTTGGCACAGATAAGTGAGTGTCTCCAATGCTGCATCAGTTTGTTAAAGATTTCAATTTGAATTCCATCAATTCCTGGAGCCTTGTTCTTTGCCAATGCCTTCAGTGCACCTTCAACTTTTTCCTTCACTACCACGGACTCTTAATCATATGCTACCTCTTGAAATGGTTGAACATCGACCATATCTTTTTGGTACAGTGACTGTGTATTTCTCCTTCTATCTTCTTTTGATGCTGGGGATGGAGGTAAATACCATCATATACAAAACTCTGCAACAACAGTGTTCTACACACGGATGACAGACGCACAGGCTGAATGAGTATGATAGGGAGAGGGTGAGTATACAGTACTCTATGAAAGCATGTTTAGAAAAACTAACTCATGACAGTATTACAGAGATGACAAACATTGTGATAACTAATGTAATTCTCACAGCAACTTTGAAGTGTACGGTCACATTCACTTCACAGCAGAGAGGGAAGCTGAAGCCCACGGAGATGGCAGGCTGGGATCAACCCAGGAAGTCTGGCTCCAAAGCCAGAAGAACTCACTATATTCTATTGCATCTGATAAATGAAAGTAGTATCCTCACCATACAACTATAGATCCTAAAAATATTCAGAAATGCAGGAAGAGAACAGAGCAGGGTTAAAATAATATTTATCAAGACAGACCTTTTTATAAACTAAATTGAAGCTTTTACCACAAAGTCCAAGTGTCTGTTATGTATGGCTTCTTGATCAGAACTTAAATAACATCCATACAGCAAAGACAATCAATACAAACAAATTTAAACTCTTAAGATAATAGCGTGGTGCCATAAAGTTTATAGTAGGATCTTACTTAATATGTAGGGCATCTTCTAAATTAAAATGAATCAAAACTCCAGAGTTACTATATTTTATCATTGTTAACTTTAAGAGTTGGAGTCCTGTTGTGGTGCTGTGACAGAATGCACTGGACTGCAAGGTCGGTTTGAACTGCATGACCGGCAGTGAAAATTCCCCAGCCGACCCTCAGAAATCCTAGACAGGGTCACTAGGAGTCGCACTTAACAACAACAACAACAAGATCGGCACTGGGTTGCTATGAGTCACAACTGGTTTGCCAGCACTTAACTTTAGGAGAGAAATGAATGGATACCTTTTAGGAACTGATCTTATTTCACATCTTGCCTGTAGGTAGGTTACTGAGTTTTCAATAACCAAATTCTGAACACAAACCTTTGGGAGACATCTGAAAACTTTTGCTCATCTACAGACTGAAGTACTATCTTTTCTATAGTATACACTGTACAGCAGCTCCTAACTCTCATAGCTTATAAAACACCGTCACATTGTGAAGAACCTTCGAGTCATTTCCAACTCACAGAGACCCTGTATAGGGTTTCCGATGCCTTTAAATCCTTGTAGGAGCAGAAAGCCTCATCTTTCTCCCAGAGAATAGTGGACATGCTTGAACCGCGGACTTGCAGTTCACAGTCCAGTGATTATCATATGGAGCCAGAAGCTTAAATATAGACAATAATAAAAAGAATCTTATGCCCCTTCTCAGGTGAACAGACAGCATGAAAGCTTCCCATATGGTGTTATATTTGAGGTTCTCAAGAAAAGGAAAACATGCCTAAACTGCAACTTCAATTCAAGGTAGTTTTTTGTGTTTTGTTTTTTTTTTAAATTCTCAATTGTTACATTAAGGTTACAAAATGGCAAGTTTAGGAAGTCTAAAATGAAAGAAAAAAAAAATATGAGCAAGAACTTCCTAAGATTTATAATTTGCTAAAGGAGCTCTGGTAGCATAGTGGTTATGAATCGGGCTGTAAACCTTAGGGTCAGCAATTCGAAACTACCAGCTGTTCCGTGGGACTACCATCTGTTCCTGCTCCTGTAAAGATTTACAGCCTCGGAAATCCTGTTCAAGGTCACTATGAGTCGGAACTGACTCCACGGCACATAACAACAAAAATCAAAACAAGTGGTTGATTTTTGAATATTTTGAAGAACATTAAAAAAAGGTTTTCTTTTTAAATAAAATAATATCCAAACTGCTTAATATCAAGCATAGTTTCCAGGCAAGAGAAATGTGTAACAATTATAGCTGTGCCCCAGGAATCATCAAATCAACTAGAGTTTTTGTTCTATACTCTGGATGCATTGTGGCAACTATCCTTTTTCTCAGCACATCTATGCTACGTTAGGAGAGATTTTCAGAAATAACACATTCCTGCAACATCTAAAAATAATCACAAGATTAACCAGTTGTGCGTGTGACATACCAAAAAATTCCTTTAAGAAAATCATTCCAAACTTATAATAAACATCAGGATAGATACCATTTTTAATCCTCAAGTTTGAGATTTGGCAAGAATCGTCTTCACAAATTTCTAAAGCATAAAATAGATATAATTCACAGTAACAACCATATTTATAGCTGTTACTAGTCATTCTCTCATTTTAGTAGAAAGGCAAACATCTTTACAAATATATTCATTTAACAACTGTATTACAATGGTTTTGAGAAAATGTTTAAAACACTTGCTCCTGTCTAGGTATTCTTTTCTCTCTTCTCTGCCCACTTGTGTCCTCATCATCATTATGGAATACACTATATACAATCCCATTCTTGGCATCTTCGCCATATAGTTTCTTTTAGCAATTTCAGTAACCTCCATGGCTTCAGCTAACACCTCTATACAGCAAAGTCCCAAATCACCATTCTACTATTAACTTCTCTTCATCATTTCTGGATCACATTTTCAAGTGCTTCCAGAAATCTCCAAGTGGATCCCTGATGTTAACCATAAGTCTGTTGGTGCATGCAGAGCCTTGGGAACGTGCCCCCACCCCCCGATAAATTGTATGAAAAATGTTGCATGTATGTGCACATATGCATTTTTTTGAAGATCACAGTTGTCTTCATAGTCTCAAAGGACTATGTGATCCCAAAGACAATATATATGTAAGTTCAGGCAGATCACTATCATAGCAGTAGACCTTTCTACTTCAGTAGCAGACAAATGTATGTTTTTAATGGAATAGAAAGTCTAGGTTAATCTATCTAATAGAGAATTGTTTTCATAGTAACTTTTCCATGCAACAAAGTAAATTTCTGAGCTCGTATTTTCCTATTGCACAGTTTAATGCCTGGGTCAAAAACCTGTAGCTGTGGGCCAGTTCATTATGTAAATAGTTTTGTTGGAACACACCATACCCATTAGGCAACAGACATATTGTCTATGATTGCCTTTATTATTAAAAAGAGTTGAGTAGCTGCAGACAAAAATTGTATAGCATACATCCCCAAAATACTTTACTATGTAGGCCTTTAAGAAAAAAGTTTCAGTGATCCCTGTTACTCTACTTAAATGCCCCCCAAAACAAACCCACTGTCATGTTTCCCACTCAGAGCTACCCTGAAGAGTAGAGCAGAAATGTCCCAAAGTGATTCTAAGGCATTAAAGTCTACAAAAAAAGACAGCCACATCTTTCTCTTATGGAGCAGCTGGTAGGTTCAAACTTCCCCCCACACCCCACCGAATCCTTTCAGTTTGAAGAAGGAAAGGCTGACTTTTGGGAAAGGAATAAAGGTTTAATATTGAGTAATAATAAACGATTTCAGGTGTAATGCTGTAGGGTAAGCACTGGACCGCTAACCACAAGGTTGGCAGCTCAAATCCACCAGTTGCTTCTCGGAAACACTATGCAGGGCCACACTATGAGTTGGAACAAACTTGAGATACTTAACATTATTGAATAATGAAAGGAAAACCTAGTTTCCAGTTTCATTCTTAAGGAATACCACATATAGTACCAAGCAAACATTAACTATTTTATTTTAAACAAAAGAGTGTTATTACCTGCCACTGCTGGGCTGCTGTGGAGAGTGTCTAGAATGATCAGAAGGTTCTGACCTTTGGTCAGGAGATCGGGAATGGCTGCGGTGGGGAAGCCTGTCATGTGAACGATTGGAATGATCTGATGCCAGTGACTGAATTTCTGAAATGTCTGTTAAATAAAAAGGTGTTATTTACTTTCTCATAAAATGACTACAGTAAAATACAAGCACTCCACTGATACTGAAATAAGTTACTAAACACAATTTTATATTAAAGTGGCTGATTTAAACCTAACTTCATCAGTTGTTCATCAAATTAATTATAGCGAGTTCCCAATTAAAATAAAGTGTATATGTATAAACACAGTTTTGAAATATTCAAAATTTTTGTATTTTAAAAGTATTCAGACTGTAGAATGTTATAATTTCACTCAAGCATATCAAATATTCGTGGTATTTTTAGAAGTATATCGCTTAAAGACAAACTTCAGAAAGAACCGTACTCACCATCTCGTTCTGAGGCATTAGCAGAGTGGATGCTGTCAGAAAGATCAGGGACATTCAGCAGAGTAGCACGTTCATCTCTCTGAACTACCATTTTCAGCTTGCCTTTAGATCTTTCTATCAATGTCTTTGCATCTGTCAAGGACATATTTTCTGTCACAGTACCATTAATCTGCAACAGGAAAAAATAACAACAACAACAACTATAGGTTGAGAGTAAATGACAATAATAATAATAATAATAAATTAACTTAGTCTGTTAAAGACAGGAATATCCAAACTACTCCTAGGCTTGCTGAAAGAATATTTTTCACATTTTTAAAAATTATCGAAGTATTACATTTTCTTAATTAAAATCTTCACTGCACTGCAGCTCTCTTAGAAAACCCCAAACTAACTTCCCCTATTCCTCTCCCCCTACAAAAGTTTATCACTTTCTATTACATATAAATAAACTAATGTAACAAGTATTTCAATACTCATAATAATAAAAAACACTATTACTGAAAGAACAGATACATCTACCTAACCGATTAGCTTCTGCTGGTATATGATAAACATTTGCAGTCATCAATTCTCTGAGGGTGACTCCACACCCAGAATACTGAATGCCGACACATATGTAACAGAACAGCGGCAAATCAAGCTCCCCTCCCCCAAGCAATGATTTTTAATTCTCAGGCAAAATTGGTTTAAATGTGTGCAGAACATATACGGTCAATCTAGAAACTGTTTTCTATTTTAGTTTGTTAGAATTTAAGAATATGACTATACCTTCAATACAACATCGCCTTCTTGAATATTGCCATCTCTTGCTGCCAAACTATCTTGTGAAATTTCCTTTACAAATATATGGCTGGCCAATCGAAGACCATATTCTGAAATATATTTAAATGTCTTTAGCGTAAAATTCTAAGACACTTAAATAGGATTTAAAAGTACGATCCAAATACTCATTGCATAGAGTTTTAAAATACAATCAACAACAAGAAATTATTCTTGGCTACCCCACAAATAAGACATTTCATTTAATCATCAAGAAGTTTATAATGTAAATGTGAAAAAGCAAATAGTGTGGTTCAAACAGAAGACTAACACACCATTTTCATTTTTCTAAAAGAAAGAAAGTCCTGAAGAGAAGACCATTTCTTGCTGACCATGTTGTATTGACACATTAGCTTCTGAGAATGTTTAATGAATGTAATTCTTAGAAGGCACATGCACCACATTCTCATGGGACAACTCAGTCAACTGGCATAACACAGTTCATACAGCTCTTCTACATAATGCGCTATACATCCTAGTTTGGTTAATAGTGTCGAGGGGTCTTAAAAGCTTGTGAATGGTCATCTAAGGTACAACTATAGGTCTCTTCCCCTTTAAAGCAAAAGAGAATGAACGAAACCAAAGAGTCAGAAGTAGTTCATAGGACTAACAGCCCACACAAACCAGTCTTTTCTAGCCTGAGACCAGAAGAACTCGATATTGCTATATACCACTACCAACTGCTCCAATCTGGGACATAACAGAAGGTCCTGGATAGAATCAAAGAAAAACACAGAACAAAATTCAAATATCTAAAAAAAGACCAGGCTTACTCATGCACTCGTAGAAATTAGAAGAACCTTACCGACTACTGGCCTAAAATACCATTTTAACTTGGCATCTAACTAAATCCATTCCAAGAGGTCTACAGGCAAATAGAATGGCTTATAAAAGAAGCAGTATCACCTGTGAGAATGGGTTTTCTTCAACAATCAATAAAGTAAGTGTAAGCAGTCAACATTTACCCTAAAGCAAAGATGAGAGGGCAAGCAGGGACAGGAAAACTAGATAAACGGAAATATAGCAAACAATAAAGAAATCGAGTAAAGCACCATTCATTTGTATTGTATATATTTTTGGTGTTATTGCTAACTGCTGTCCAGTCAATTCTGATTTATAGTATCCCAATAGATGTGACTGGTACTTGAACCACTGACTCTGCAATTAGCAGCATAGTGCTTATCCCATAGATCCATACCAAGTGTATGAGGGATCGGCAGAAGTTGAGAAAGTTAACCAGAGAGTCTACAGAATCACCCAATTGCTTGCTCTAGCAAAATAGTTTTAAAAGACAATGGCTACAATTAATGCCACTAGAAAAAGTCTTTCCTGGTTGTTTTGGGAGAAGGGGAATCTGACAAAACCAAAGATGGAAAGAGAAAACCATTTTTAATAATGGATAAGTACGCAGACCTGTTATTCTAGTGTCTAAAGCTAGACCAGAGTTACAGTTTAACTAAAGGCAAATACACAAAGAGCACTCAGGAACAGAAACAGAACCAGGGACTGAAAAGAAAATGAGGATCCAGGTAAGACTCTAGACAGTCTACGTGCTTTGGAACTGGTTATTACACCATAAAACACTGTTCTTAATCAAGGCTGAAATTCATGAATAACCACTACATTCACTGAAGAAAAAAAGGCCTTGTATATTTAATTTATTCATTCCTTTCAAAGATTTCCTTGGGTACATACAAACTGTATCAGGCTCTATGGATAATGCAGTAAATGAGAGTGTAGTAAGGCACCCTGGCGATTTCCCTACTCAGAACACTTGAACACAGTAATTATTCATATGATGAAGATTTAAGATGGGCTAAATGTCAGAAATATGCAAAGACTCGGAGTTATGAAATGCCCAAAAGAACACGCTCAGCATTTCTCAAGCTGAGGAAACTGAAGAATAAATTTAAACCTTGACTTAATTTTGAAGAAATTATTGAAGAATTCTCTGGGCAAATTATTGAGGGATGCAAAAAGCATCAAAAGATGATGGAAGGAATATACAGAGTCACCATAAAAAAAAGAAATGGTCGATGTTCAACCAATTCAAGAAGCAGCATGTGATCAAGAGCCAATGATATTAAACAAAGAAGTACAAAGTGCATTGAAGGCACTGGCAAAGAACAAGGCTCTAGGAATTGATGGAATACAAATTGAAATATTATACCAAACTGATGCAGCAGCACTGGAAACACTTACTCATGTATGCCAAGAAATTTGCAAGACAGCTACCTGGCCAACTGATTGGGAGAGAGCCCTATCTGTGCCCATTCCAAAGAGAGATGGCCTGTTGGGGACATACGCAAGTACTGAGATTTTGAGGCCCTGTGACAAGATGGATGAAAATCCAACCCCAGGACTCTTCTCAGGATTATGAGCCATGGACCCTGAGGGCCAAAGGAAGTGACCTCCTGACGTCCTGGATTCATTGGTTTTTGCGAACTCACTGGTTGGCTACCTCTGTATAATTTTCTTTGGTCCTAATATTGTTCATTCTATGCTTCTAACTCCTCCGCGGGAGAAAGATGAGGCTTTCTACTCCCGTAAAGATTTACACCCTCGGAAACCCTGTACAGGGTCGCTATGGGTCGGAACCGACTCGACGGCACTTAACAACAACAACAACAATGCTTCTAACTCCAGTAATTGTAGCTTCTGAGAAAATGGCTTCTTTTACAATGCCTCTCTTAATGCCTCCACTGTGTTGGCAGTGTGTGGAGTCCTGGGAACAAATCTTTCTGAGGAACAAGCGATAGCCACCTGGGATGGAAGTCAGAACTGCTCCTTATTTGATCATTCAGTTATGTTTGATATCCATGAACAATAATGGGTTTGAAACCCCTTTTTAGAGCCGAGGCAGTAAAAGTTTCCTTAGATAACTTAGAAAGGCCAGGAACAGGTATATTGGGAATATGACAAAAGGTTTTTAGAAAAAAACTACCCAAGGTTTGTACATAAAGTGGAATGGTAAATTCTGGGAATGCTGGATTACAGGATAATAGTGGCAGCCCCACTAAACCGCCTCTGAATATAATCAGTTTAACCCAGATGCTCTCCTTCCTCCTGAAAGTATGTAGGCATGTGATAATTAAGAACAATGTAGCATTTTAGATACAGATAAATGAAGCCCAGTGCCTGAGATTTTGCTCACAAACAAAAGTTTGCAAAGTGTACAGAGACAGCTTGGCTCCTTTCAGGAACCTTGCTTTATGTTAAGTACCCTTAAGAAACTGCACGTCACTGCTCTAAATCATTTAAGCCTAAAAATTAATATATAACAGCTTGATTGAACCTTTTTCTGTAAAAATAAAAATGTTAGATTGTTAAGAAAAACTATGAAAATATCTTAAAAGTTGTTCCTGTGAATCATTATGTCCTGTTTTGAATGATTAATCACATTTCAGTTCCGTATCCTGTCTTAATCACATCCTCCCTTTGTGAAATTACATCCTCCCTTTAACAAATCCCTCCCTAAAAAAGAGAATAAAAGACTGAGGTAGAGTTAGATCTGTGTGCAATGCTGTGTAATGCTAGGCAATATGTTTGCAGATCTGCCTACCTGCCAGCTTGCATCATATCTATGTGTCTGTCTTTTTTGTATATATTTCGTCTCTCTCTTTCTCTATTGCTTTTGCCGCCAGATCTCCCTTCTTTGTGACACCCACACTTCCTTGTCGAGGCTGGAACCGACACAGGACCTCGACAGTGGCCCCGTGAAATGTGGAAATCACCAGACAATATCATTAATATAGCAAGCTTTTGGCTGATAATTCAACAATGGCTGCAACAGTACATTGACAGGGAACTGTCAGAGGTTCAAGCCTGATTCAGACGAGTATCACTGCTGATTTCAGACAGATATTGGCTGACAGCAGAGAATGCCAGAAAGATGTTTAACTGTGCTTTATTGACTATGCAAAGGCTTTCGACTGTGTGGACCATGACAAGCTATGGACTACACTGCAGAGAAGGAGTATTCTGGAACACTTAATTGTGCTCATGAAAAGCCTCTACATAGGGCAAGAGGCAGTTGTTCAAACAGAACAAAGGAATGCTGAGAGGTTTAAAAACAGGAATGGTGTGTGCAGGGTTGTATTCATTCACCATGCTCATTTAATCTGTATGCAGAGCACAGAATCCCAGAAGCTGGATTATAAGAAGAACGTGGCACCAGGATTGGAAGAAGACTCATTAACAACCTGCAATTGTTACAACCTTGCTTGTTGAAACTGAAGAGGATTTGAAATACTGATGAAGATCAAAACCTTCGGTATGGGTTGTACCTCAATGTAAAGAAAACAAAAATCCTCACCACTGGACCAATAAATAACATCAAGGTAAATGCAGAAAAGATTGAAGTTGTCAAAGTTTCCATTTTGCTCAAATCAATCATCAACACTCATGGAAGCAGCAGTCAAGAAATCAAACGACATACTGCATTAGGCAAATCTGCTGCACAAGACCTTTTTAAAGTGTTGAAGAGCAAAGACGGCAGCTTGAGGACTAAGGTGTGCCTGACCCAAGCCATAGTATTCTCAATAACCTCATATGCATGTGAAAGCTGGACAGTGAATAAGGAAGATCATAGAAGAATTCATGAATTTGAGTTATGGTGTTGGAAGAAAACTGAAAGTACCATGGGCTGCCAAAAGAACTAACAGATCTGTGTTGGAAGAAGTACAGCCAGAGTGCTCGCTGGAGGCCAGACTTCATCACTAATACTTTAGACACAATATCAGTATGGACCAGTTATGTGGAGAAGGACGGCATGCTTGGTGAAGTGGAGGATCAGAGAAAAAGAAGACCTCCCAACGAGATGGATTGGCACAGTGTCAGCAGCAATGGGCTCAAGTGCAACAACGATTGTAAGGTTGGGGAAGGACCTTGGTGTTTCGTTCCGTTGTGCACAGGGTCTCTATGAGTAGGTACTGACTTGATGGTACCTAACAATAGTCAGAAGGAGCCTTGCTCAGGAAGAAATAATAAAGCTAGAACATGAAGAATAAGTGTGCGTGTGGTAGTGGTGGGGCTGTGAAGATGGAATGATTCA